TCCCTGGGGTGTCTCGCACCTGTACAGGCCAGCAGCCGTCGTGCAAAGCCTAAGTTGGGGCAGGCCCTAAACCACAAGAGAAGCGGGGGCCTAAACCTTAGGGATGCAGGATGGCAGTGCAGGCCGATTTCCCCCCGGGCGGGAGGGCGGGCCAAAAAGCTTGAATCGGTCGAGCATGGCTTGGGAGTACGCGATACTGGCATCGCGCACCTTTTTCGCCTGCAAGCTCGAAGTGTCCCTGGGGTGTCTCGCACCTGTACAGGCCAGCAGCCGTCGTGCAAAGCCTAAGTTGGGGCAGGCCCTAAACCACAAGAGAAGCGGGGGCCTAAACCTTAGGGATGCAGGATGGCAGTGCAGGCCGATTTCCGCCTTTGAGATCCTTCGGCCTTTAGGGCGACGCACGATTGCGAGGCGCCGAAACAGAAATGGCATGTTCCAAGAGAGCTCGGGCAAAGGAGCTAAACAAGCGAATCTTTTCGCGAGCGGCGGGACCCAGCTGCTGAAGCAGGAGTTGTGCCGCCACTTCTTGCAAGTAGAATTCGATAGTTTTTATCTTGCTCCAGCGCCCTCGCCAAGCGACAAGAGCAAGATCCTCTGTTTCGGCATACAAGAATGTCGCCCCGCTGCCGCGGAGCACGCCGGGCGTGGCTCCGCGATCAGATTGACGGAAAGGAACCCCCAGCCGCGACATGATACTATTCCACTGTTGACGGTAGGTGTGCAAAGATCCACGGAAAATGCGTTCAGCAAAAAGCCTAGAAGTGAACCTAGCTTCGAAGAAACGAAGAGTGACTTCATCTTCGAGTCGGCAGTGCTGTCTGCGCGCGAAGCGCGCGGTTTTAGGATTGCCTATATATGTATATAAGCAATTCTGTCGGAGGAAAGCGTCACCACGGGTAAGGACTATGAACTCATTCGGGTGGAGCATACACAAGAAACCCAACAGTGTAATCGCAGCCCAGTCAGCCCAGCCCCACAGCAATGCAACGCTGATGGCTGCCAGCAGCACTGGGCGCGAAATGACAGGCCTGCACGAACCGGGCTCAGCAAGCTGCCACTTCTTGTCGATCTGCCAAGCAGGGGTCAAATGAGAACGGAACTCTGGGCATATGTCCTGCACAGCTGTGATGGCATACACCAGCAAGTAGCGGGGGAAGCCACCTTCGAAGAGTGCAAGGCCGTACGCGCGCAGCGCAAAAGCCGCGCTCCGCTGCGAGCTCAGAACCTGTGGTAAAGTCAGACCGAACTCTTCCAACAGCCAGCACCTGAAAGCCTTAAGACTCTTCGTCATCTTCTGACGAGTGGAAGCAGCGAAGCCGGACTGTAAGTCGAGAGGGCCACGAGCAGGGCGAACAGGTGCACCAACGCGCCCCCTTGGAGGAAAGGAGACGGCGCGGTGAGCGGCAGCAGGAACAGTCGCAGGAGGGTTTGCAGAACTTGCAGAACCCGACGCAGCATCGGCCTCCGCAGGTTGCGCCGGCACAGGAACTTGAGGTCGATTCACAAACTTAGCGCTGCGACGACCGGTGGCGCCGAACACACCAGTGGCAGGGCCTGGATTCCGCTCAATGTCACCCCCGAGGAGCAACAGTAAACGCAACCATCGCGACGCCAGCTTCGGCACACCTTGTGATGCCAGGTACGCGTCAAACAAGGTGTAGTCGTGCCGGCAGAGAGCCTGGTAGAAAGGAGCATCCGGCGGTCTGTTACGGGAAGGCCCATCAGCGCGGTTCTTGCTGGTGTATATGTGCAGCCCACCTGTGTAAAGGCCACCGCCTAATACAAACAGGAGCTCAGTCTGCTGCACATGGCACAAAGCAGCGCTGCTGGAACGACTTTTTGCACTAGCAGCCAAAAGAACCCGACTATCAATGAGACCCACGGTCCTAGACCTACGAAAGTTATGACACAGATGCTTCAGCCATGTCTTGCGAGCTCGGACCTCTTGGACTCTTGGATGTTGATGTGCCTCTAGCGCATGAAGCGGTACCTCACAACTTCTTCGAAAGAAAGGGAATCGGTGAGTTTGCCGACCCACTCCGGATCATCAAAGAAAGCTCTGCTGGTTGCACTAGCACCATCTTCAAAATCAAGGCCTGCTAACGTGCAACTCAGTTTCGAAAGGGTGCTAGTGGCAGTATTCGACTCAACTGCCTGCGTGTGGTGCTGTGGCACGATCCAACCAAACTCACGAACACATGCGCTCTTAACCGACAAGGGAATAATCTCGATCGCTCCGCGTTTGGCTTGAAGGCGGCCAGCTGCCATCTGCTGGACCCACGACAGCCGGTAAGTTCCGGAAAGCTCGCAACTGACGCCTCTAATTGAGGTTCAACACCGAAAACGGCAGAAACCGAGAGCCTACATCGGGACCTAAAAACCGAAAGGAACAAAAGGTTGAAGAAACTCTACACGATCATGTGATACTTCTTGTAAGAGCACTCGAGGTGACTCCAACCCTAACCTCACGTTAGAGTTGGAGTTAATCCGAACTCCGTAGCTTAGAATTGGAGTCAACTCGAACCCAACTCCGGTCCACGGATTGGAGTTGAGGTTGATTCGAATCCTAAGTTAGAGTCGGAGTTAACCGGAACTCCAACCGGGTAAACCCGAAACCGAAGCAGACAGCAAAGTTTGCGGATGGTTGCCATGGATTGAAAAAGAAAAATTTTGCAGCATTTTCCGTGAAAAACTTAAGGTCCCTACTGGACCTTTTCCCTTGGAACAACAAACCCCCTTCTAAACACAGCAGACAGCTGCACGGCCTTTTCTCTCAGCTTGAGCTTGAGCCAAACGCTCACGGAGTGCGAAAACGAATTAAGACAAACGAATTAGCGTATTGGGCATTCACCACAACAAGATTTACAGAGTAAATCTTGTGGGATTTAAACGTAAAGCTCAGGATCCTTCAAGGAGTCCTTGTGGCTTCACCAAAAAGCCAGTACACTTTGAGATCGTCAAGATTCTCAAATGTACTCTAAAACAACAACAGAAGGTTTCCTACATCTTGGGATCATCAAGATCCCCAACCAAACCTTGAAACCGTTCCCGAAGCAAAACAACTCGCAGACAAAAGAGCTTTTCACAAGCGACTATCGCCCATGATCTTACACCCCCCGCATTTTGCTGAGGGCTTCACCAAGGATCTTCGAAAGACCAAATTGGCCTTTCTGCACTAGGGGAATGCCCAGGCCACATTCCCTTGGTGCGTACTCGCCACTCACAGCGCAGACACAAAACACAACACCAAGATCCTTGATCGAAAAAGCGTGCAAACTCTGAGCGAACTCAGATCGTAGTGAAAACACGTGTCAAACTAATTCTAGCGAGGCTCTCAGAAACACTCAGTTCTCCTTCAAGACCTCGCCCAAAAACTCCGTCTCTCCAGGGCAGGAAAACGCCAGGTTCCCAGACCAGGGTCCGAATGGACCACGAAAACTGCTCAGCCAGTAAAGAAAACTTCCAGCTCCAGTGAGCCTAGCGTTGCTAAGCTCCTGTTCCAGACTGCATCCCAGCTTTTCCAGAAAACCAAAAAGAGTTGTTCCAGCAGAAAACGCATGCACTGATTGCACCTCCGCGCACACAAAAGAGCCATTGCGGCACCGAATGCCATGGCTTAAAACGGCTGCAGAAAACCCGAGAGGTCTCCACAACCATCTCCAGGAGATCTTCACGATTCTCCTCGGCTTCACTCAGATCCCTTCCCGGAATCCCCAGGCGTCTCATCCTTCTTCAAACCTTCAGCAACCTGGGCTTCACGCCTCTCGCGGGCCGCTGCCTGCATATCCCCAAGCTCCTCCATGCGCTCAGCCATGACTTGAGCCTGATCATCTTCTGGTGCTCTCACAGGCACCTCCACTGGAGTAGGCACCGGAGCAGGCATCGGGGGAGGTCCAGGTGGAGGCTGCCCCAACATAGGCATCGCCTGCAGAAGATTCTGCGTCACCATCGTCGCAATGCGACGAAAATCCTCTTCCGTCAAGGCAAACTGAGGCACACCCCCAGTCGAGGGAGCAGCACCTTGAGCAACAGGAACTTCAACCCTAGGCCTTTTGGCCTCTTCTTCTTGCTCATCAGCCTTCCTCTTGAGCTCCTGCTGCTGCTGAAGCTGCTGGCGCGTCACCTCCTTAGCAACCAAGACTTCCATCTGAAGCATCTCTTCCTTCAAATCATCCAAGTGGATCCGCACATGCGGATGCCGTTGCACACCACATTCAGTGGCAGACAATCCGTTCTCTGCCACTCCTTCAACCACTCAGGATGCTGATCCTTTTGCGCCGCGCTATCGACACAAACCTCAGCTCCAATCATTGGCAGCATAGAAAACAAATCCATCATCCTGCGAACACTGATATCGGGGTTATCTCCAACCAACACCAGAGGCTTTGCACCCTTCTGGCACAACCCACACACAAAGGTAGCCAGGGACAGACCACTGGTCCCATAAGGAACCTCCGTAAGCAAACACCCCGAAGTGGTCACTACTTCCCAAGCGCAGCCTGGCCACCAAATTGACCTCTCAGGTCAATCACCATGATCATCTTCTCCAAAGCTGCAAAGCTCCCGGCTTCCTCGCAAGCCGTAAAAAGGTCTCTGTTCTGGTGCTTCAAGGACGTGTAGTCCTGGCCGTACTTAGTCATTCCCTCCTCGTTCAACAAGGAGATGAACCTCTCAAACTTATCCACCAGCTCCCGATACGGCTTGCCCTTTCGACACTCCGCATCAAGCATATCATTGTACCACTCAGGGGTACCCTTCTGATCACGAAGATCCGAGGCCCTAGGGGCTGGAGTGATAGGCACCTCACCTTCACTCTGGTGCGCTGGCGTGATAGGCGCCTTTTCTGAAGTGGGGCCTTTGCCTTCACCCTTCGACCCCCAGCGCTTGCTTTTATCCTTCTCACGCATGTTGAAAGCATGCTGAGCTGCAGATCCCATCACGGTGATCTCACTCTTGCACTTCCCACAGCTAAAACCTTCAGGGGTTTTGTTCAACCCATGGGCACCTTCATTCTTGAACAACCACTTGCACGTCTTGCACCAAAACGGTGCAGCAACATCCTGGTTCTGCCCAGCAGGAACCTTCTCCACAGACGTACCCATGGATCCGATTTCCGGTATCCAGTCACCTTCCAAGCTCGAACCGACAAAGCTGCAGTCCGAAAACAAATCATCATCAAGCTTCATGCCACAAATCATGTGCACTTTTTGGACGGTCTCGTCCTCAAAAATCCCTAAAGCACCTTGGTGCCTTTGAAACAAATCCATGCTCAAACGTTTGGTCAAAATATCGGCAACCATGGCAGACGTGGGACACCAAAATACCTTCAGGCTTCCTACCTCTTGAATTCTTTCCTGTAGATAGCAAACAGCTATATCCAAATGTCGAACCCTGCGGCTCAAACCTCGATTCAAGAGCACGGCTTTTGCCGATGAACTATCAGTGTGCAGAACCAATTCCACCTTCGCATTCGCAAGCTGCCCAATCAAAGTCGCAATCCCTTCGCTTTCCTGAACTGCAGTGAGAATCGCTCTCAATTCAGCCTCACACGAGCTAAGGGACACACACCCTTGAACTCTCGAAATCCCTTTGATCAGACAACCACGGTAAAAGATGGCAATCCCTGACACCGACTTCCTACCCAAAGATGCTTGTGGTGCCCAGCTGGCATCAGCATAGATATCAATCCTTGATGGTCCTGCGTCTGGGACCTCACTCCCAGGCCCATAATACTGCCAACAAAGATATTTATTGGCCTTTCAAGAAACGAATCACTTGCCTCAAAGCATGCTCAAAACAAGCTGTAGGCTTCGACTGACCTTGGGATAAAATGGACATCCAACGAGCCAAATCCGGACGGGACTGGCCCCACCAAGCAATCCTTCCAAGAACCGCTCGGTAGCGCATCGCAGCAGCCTCCGTCAACAAACCATCCTTCTCAGGCTCAGCGCGACCCTTTTCGATGATCTTGACTATATCCGGAGGGCTACTCAACACCTTCAGATCCTTGCAAAAGTCTGTCTCAAACAAACTTTCCATGTACTGCGGGGGAACTCTCATCCGAAGATGCTCTCCAACTCTCTCGATCTCTCTTCCCAAGAACACAATCTTTCCACCATTGGGCGTGATTCGTCCCGTTTCCTTGATCTTGAGCTCTCCGTTCAAGGTATCCGTGACCAACTTAATGGCCTCTGGGCTTCCACACAGGATCAAACCATCCACATAACAGAGCATGAGAAACCGTTTCCCTTTCACAGTTCCTTCGAAAACAGACGGTTCAGTCGGACACTGCGTCAATCCAACCTTCTTCACCACATTCGCCAATTTCAAGTTCCAAGCTTTGGCTGCAACTCTCAGCCCATTCATCGCCTGATCCAGAATCATATACACAGGAACATACCCCTCAGAGCTGGAACTCACATCTCGCGGTAACATGATCACCGCCTTCTCACCTTTTGGCAATGGGGAATGCAAAAAGGCAGTCGAGACATCTAAGGTAGCAATATCCATCGACTCTTTGGCAGCAATAGCCAGAAGAGTTCGCAAGGCCTCCAGCGACGGCGTGGTCGCACTCAAACCTAGCGATGATGCAGTACTACCCATTGCCACATCCTGCACCACACATCGGGCGCGCACTGCCCCTTTCCCATTCACGACCTTAGGCCCAAGGACCCATCGCGTAGGGATGATTCTTATCCCATGCTTCTTGGCAAACGAATGTGCCTCATCAGCAGACACAATCCTTCCTGCTTTGTGTGAATCCATGCTCAAAAGCTCAGTACGTCGACCGTCCATGGCTGACAAGACATCCAAAGGACACCCATCCAACTCAGACAACGCACTCTTCATCTTTGCTAGCCAAACTTTGGATCCACACACCTTCATCTGTTCCGGAAACGCAGCATTCTTATCAATAAGAACTGCATTCACAACACTTGACAGCTTTGGCACCTCGTGTTCCCCAACTCCATAAGTCAAACCTTCTGGGGAATCCAACCTTGGATGAAGTCCTGAATTCAAGCGGACTTGTTCCAACCTTCGTGCCACGCGTCTGGGCTCAACCGAAACATCCTCAGACTCAACACTCATTGGTTCAGGCCTTTCAACAACCTCCTTCTCAACCTACATAGGTTGTTCCTCCTCAAAGTATCCCGGAAGCATCTCCTCATCCTGGAACTGTTCATAAGGGATACTCGGATCTTCAAACATCTCCACATCAATCACATCTGGCTTCAACTCCGCGGCAGGCGCTTCATCAGTACTTCCTTCGCTGGTCTTAGGACGCTTCAACAAAGGTGCACTCGCCTCCAACACCCCCGCATCCTCAGAGCTTCGTGCTTCTGAAGACACCTTCGGTGCCATGCCAGATCCTGGATCCGGGTTCACTGTCACCCGATACACGCTCACCATCACCAACCAACCTCTCTCGTTGGTCTTTCAACCACTTATCATACCGTCGCTTGCAGGCGGCATTGTGATTGGCTTTCCCGCGCTTCTTACCACACGCTGGGCATCCAGGTGTTCCGCCATGCTCTCGTACCCACGCTGCAGGTGGTCCAACCTGACTCATGTCAGTGGTGGGCTCTTTGAGACACCCTTCCTTCAAAAGGCTTTGTCAACCTCACCTTCCACTTTATCGGGAATCCTTCTAACGCACGCGGACTGCGCTTCAACCCTTGCTCTCTCAAGTCCAGCCTAATCGTGCTGAACAACTCTTTCAGAGTCCGTACTGCTCTTTCAAACTCCACCAACAGATTCATGTCCGTGGGACTTTCCGCTCGGCGAATCAACGCATTAACAGCCGTCTCACTATCAGTCCGAAGTAACACCGCAGATCCGGCAGTCTCTCTCTCTCTCTCAAAGGCGAAAAGCGAGTCCAAGTCTAGACCACTTGTCAGCAGTCCTGTCTAGCAGGGGCCTCCTTGTTAGGGGATCATCGGGGATGCACCAGCTGCCTCCATTTTGATCGGTCTTGGGAGATCGGCTGTAAGGTGCGGTA